GCCTTTCTCTCTTTGTCATTTTATACAAATTCAAATTGTATATATCGTCCTATACACTTAAAAATATACAATACAAATATTTCTCTGAAGTCTCTTTTGCCTTTCTCTCTTTCTCATTTTATACAAATTCAAATTGTATATAATTTATCCCTTTCTCGATTTATACAATTTGCTTCAATTGTATATGTATAACAAATTATATATATGTTTGCTATGAAACGCAATTGTGCAAACTTTGCTATAGCATACAGATATAAATTTTGTGTTTGCTATATGTGAAAGTTATCCTATTTCTAATTATATATTTATACTTTTACTTGAAAAAAAACTTAATAAATATTATAAAGATAATTTTATTTGTGGATTTGATTAACAAGTAGTAACATTAACATTATGTAATATTGTTTTTTCGATATTTATGATAATATTTTTAAATTATAATTTAATTTAATAATTATAAAAAATATAATTTTTTGTAAAAGTGGGCTGGCCCGGCAAACCCGTAGCCCACGTACTCGTGGGTTGGGCCGACCATTTTCTAGCCCAAGTCAAAAATAGGCTAGCCCAGCCTGGCCTGTAAAATGTCAAAATCTGTATGAGTTAGTCCGGATGGGGTGGGATAACTCATATTGATAACTCTAAGTTAATTATACAACTGCAGATATAAAAGTCTACATTTATACGAACACTAACTTATATAGTAACTAACTCCACATAAACTACAACTATCAATGAATTATACATATTCAAATCGCAATTCAACTAAAACTAATTTATACAATTTTACAAATCTAAATAACTTTATACAAACTAAATTATACAAAAATTAACTTTATACTATTAAACACTGAAACAACTAAGTTATACATCTACAGATGTAAAAGTTTACATTTCTATGAACACTAACTTATACAGTCACTAACTACACATAAACTACAACTATCAATGAATTATACATATTCAAATCACAATTCAACTAAACTAATTTATACAATTTTACAAATCTAAATCACTCTATACAAACTAACTTTAGAGGAAACAATTGAAACATACATTCAGTCAAAGCTTCGATTACTGATTAAGATTTGAATTTCGATTAAACAATTTATACAATTGAAGCAATTTCTTTGATCTAAATATCAATCGATTCAACGGAATCTCCAGAGCATCAAACAGAAAAGAGATGAAATTATATACCTAAACCAAATCGATTCATTGTATTATGTACCTGTTATGTAAACAGTGGTGAAATAAACGTTGATTGACGATCTCAGAAAAAAATTGAATTGTCGGCGACGATTTGGGATCCGAGGTACTCAATTTTGTTGCAGAAGGAAGGAACTCAATTCTGTTCCAGAACGGGTATGATTTATAACGAGCGTGAATTAAGGATATTTTCCCTCTGAGATTACCGTTATTTACTTTAAAAAAAATTAAATTGCTTTTGTATAATCTATTACATCTGTAGCTACTAGCTACTGTATGTAATTATGAAACTTTCGCTAAATTGAATAATAACTATAATTATAGTGGCTATTTATGAAAGTTTCCCTTAAATCAATCCTAACATAATTTAGAATGGAAACTAATTATTTAATCAAAAAATATGATTTTGGTAAAAAAAAAACTAATTAATTGGTGATCTACCAGAGAAAAAAGAAAAGAAACAGTTATTATTTTCTCAAGTTTGTCTTTTTAGATGATCTTTTGAGCAATTAATACTTAAAATCAATTCTAAAACATTTGTAGCATATATTTAGTTCCTTGATGAACTAAGATAGCCTTAATATCGAGAAAAAAGTATTTTGATAGCATTTTGACCCGTTTATTAGCAAATTGCGTCAAGTGGGTCAAAAGGATGAGCAACCCTAGTTGCTGGCGAAATCTAGTGTCGTACCCCTATTTCGAATCGGTTGAAAACAGTTCACAATATAATATGGCTGACAATTTGATTTTTTGAAAAATCATTTGTTTTAGAGCCGTCACCTAAGTTTTAAGGAAAATATTAGGAAAACCCTTTTTTAATATGTAAAATGTAAACTCTATTTTTGATTTGCGAAACCCGTGAGATTCTGATTAAGGTTTTTGATTACTCGAGGGGAAGGTGTTAAGCACCCCTCAGAACCTATCCGAAGATAGTCCTTAAACTCAATTTAATAAAATATAATTAGAAAACTTGTTTATTTATTTTCTTTTAAAAAAATGCCAAGTTAAATTTTATTAGCTTTTTTTTTTAAAAAAAAAGTAAAACACAAGGTACAACATATATATGTCCATTAAATAAATTAATATTAGTATGTTTATTATACGATAAGAAAAGAAATGAAAGCGCTAAGAATGTATGACAATTTTATGTTAAAAGAGTAGAGATGTGTCTTATATAAATATATTCAAAATAAATGTTGAGAATATAAAATTGTTATTTTTACTATAGATTGAAGACGTAAAAGAAAATAAATAAAAAATTGGTTGTAAATATGTAGTGAAAAATATGCATATTAAAATGTAGAGATATATAAATTATAAAGAAAATAAGTAACATTTGTAAAAAAAAGCGATAGTGGATATTTAAAAAAATATATGAAGTGTAACAAAATAATAAGTTACGGATAGAGAAAACTAAAAATATAGAATTTGTATCTTTCTGCGCATATATATATGTATGTACCTTGTATTTTGAACCCATTGACATATCTAAAATCCTTGAAAATAGCATGTTAAGATATTGAAATATTTTAGTAAGCATTTGATTAAAAAAAACTATAGCAAGTATATATTTATTAAAGGAGTGATGTGAAGAATATAAAATGGGCCTAACTCCGAGCGAACAACTTAAGCCAAACATTCCTTTTAAAATAGAGGATCAATAATTCTGACAAAACCTTAATACTTGTTTTCCCTTCTTAGAGATAGTACTCTTTTAGTCCCTCAAACTAATGTTTTAGCTTCAAAATATGAACTTATAGGCCCTAAGAGAAATAGGTTTTAAACTAAGAAAAGTTGCACATTTTACACTATAAAATCTGCAGAAATGAGGCTGTTAAAAGCTGCGTTTTTATCTTTTAAAAATCTGTATTTTTCAAGCTTAAATTTTGTATTTTGCAAAGCCCACAAAAGGGCGTTTGAGCTTCAAAACCTGCAGTTTTACACTCAAACTATGTATATTTTGAGTCCAAAATCTGCACCTTTTGAGCTCACAAAGCTGCATTTTTTATAAGACTCAATATACAGCTCTTAAGCCGTCAAGAAAGTGACATATTTAGTCACAAAAATCTGCATTTTTAAGTTCTAAAATAAATCTGCTTGATAGAGCATGCCGGAACTGCATTTTTTACGCTAAAACCTGCAACTCCTAAAGCTAAAAATCTGCACTTTTTATCCTTAAGAATCTACTTAGTGGAGCATATCGAAAGCAACATGTTCACACTAAAATCTGCAACTTTTAAAGCTAAAAAAAACCTGCACTTTTTATCCTTAAAAATCTGCTTAGTAGAGCATGTTGAAAGCAACATGTTCATACTAAAAGATCTGCTATTTTTATGTTAAAAATCTGTGTTGCTAGGCCTTGTTTTACCTCTCAAAGATCTGCAATTTGCAAACTTAAACCTGCATATTTTGAACCCAAAAATCTGCATCATTAGTATTTTTTGTTCTAAAATTACACATTTCTGCACTAAAAAATCTGCGCTAAAGCTGTTGTAGAGCTGCAGATTTTAGCACTCAAAATATGCAATTTTTACACTTTAAACTAACAAAAAATAGATTGTGTCTTCAACCCAGAAAACTTGTAATTATTATACTCAAATTCTTCCTCTTTTGAACCCAAGATTCAGCACTTAAAAGTGCTGTACTTTTATCAGTAAAAATGTACCTTAAAAAAACCATACTTTAAACACTCCTTTGCAATTAAAATGTTAAGCAACAAATAGAACTTCACTAGTAAGTAAAGCTATAGGCTAAGTTTTTATACTAAACACAATATCTAAAAGGAAACAAGGTGGGCAACTACATCTTATCGTCGTTCTTGGTTGTTCCAAATCAAATGAAATAAATCAAGCATAAACATAAATACGAAAACATTTAATGGAAAATGTTAGTCAAAAATAGCAACATGTATACAAAGCACATGAAGATTTGAAGCGAGAAGGAATTGTGGGACACTATTGATGCGAAAATGGGCTGCTAGACGCGAGCTTATGCAACTAATGGTCGCTTCTCTGATTTGCAAAAACAGAGTCATATACTAACTCTAAAATGCGCTCCTGAATGTACATGTGACAAACAAAGAAGAAGTGGAATTAGCAAAATGGCCTTTAGATTTTATCAGAAGACATAAGAAAGAGTATGTAACATTTCGAAAATCCAAGAGGAGTCTTAAAACCTAACATAGGTGCCATGGGGTCTAAACACTGTTTTAAGACTTATTTTAATGAATATATGTCATTTAGGAAGTTTAAGAACCAAAACGTCTAAGAACGTCCATGACGTTTGGAAATTTGGTTCAAGGATGTACTAGCGTGCCTTAGCCTATTTTACTAGCTTTTAGGAGTTGAAATTCGTAAAAATAGGTGGAGGGGTAGTTAATAGGTGTTTAAGATGATTCTGGTCGAAACTTACGGGTACGACTCCCCAAGGACCAACCAAAGTCCCTTGAGGAGGACCCTAACACCTAAGAGGCAACACTGCTCGGACAATGTGCAAACCACAAAAGCCAAGGAACGGCTTGTGTGTGGATCGACGAGGCGTCGATGCCAGAAGTCGTCCCATACTTAGACAAAATGGGGAGGCCCTCACCTTCACAAGTATTTGACCAAAACGACGAGTGTGCAGGACAGAGGGGGGCCAAGTCGTCGACTCACAGGCGGCCCGTCGACGGGGTTCCGTCTATGAGGGTCAAAAGTTTCTACACATTTTAAGTTAGTTTCATTTAATTAGTTAGGGGTTAGGTGATCAATTAGGGATTTAAGGGAATCTAATTAAGTTAATTAATCCCCAATATACAACCCTCATTAGTCTAAACACAACTCACAAAATAAACTTTCTTCCTTCTCTCTTCTTTCTCTCTCTATTGGAAGACACCATTGAAGACAAGCTAGGGGGAGGTTTTGGAGATGGAAAGGGACGATTTCACCATCAAATATTCATCAAACATTGAGGTTTGGGATCTAATTCACCTTTGAGACTTCTTTCCTCAAAGGTCTCCTTCAAAGTATTTCTAAAAGTTGGGTTTTCAAGTGGGTTTCATTCAATTACGAATTTGATGTTATGAACTGAATTGCTTATGGTTCTTTAGGATATAATGAATATATTAACATGTATATTAACTTGATTATGATAATTTGTGATGGTTTGATCTAAATAGAAGAACATGATCCTTAACCCTTAACATTAGGTTTGATCTTGATGTGAATTAGGTTGTGATTGATTCAATTCACTTGACTATTGGTTAAATCACTCTCAGATGATTTTGTTACACTTATCATGAAAAATTTAGGATGATTTGTAGCCTTTCATACTAGTTCTTGAGAAGTGATCTAGGTTATGAGAATTGACCTAAGTATCTTGTCTTAAGCTTTGATTTAGTATTGAATTATGATGTAGTGACTCTTCTAGCCTTTTTATCATGTTGATTATTGAATTATTATGTGGTACATCTAAATTGGATTGAATTGAGGGTTTATGGTAAGGCCTAAATGATGAACTATGAAGGAGACTTGGTAAGTCTTATTATCTCTATCTTAACTTCCAATTGTGATTAATTGTGGTTAAGTCATGATGTTATATTGGAGTATGGCTTGTACTAGGATTGATAGGATGATATGATGTTGAATTGAAATGTCTTGACTATGTTGTGAGGTTGATTAAGGTGTATGTGTTATAAGGATGGTGATGACTATCAATGGGCATTATTATGATACGAAATGCTAATGTACTAACCTCACTTTTATGAATTGTAATGAAAGGACTTATACTCATACAATTCTTATTGAGCTATTGATGATGATGATTATACAAGGGGTAAAACCTATGACCCAAACTAAATTATGATTTATAATTAAAGGCTTAAAGACATTTTAAAAAAGGGACTCTAGCTTAGCACCGAGTGAACTAGATTGAGGAGTGTCCCTTCCCACAGAGGGAAAGTAGGAGCACTTAAGTACTCTTGAGATTGGAGACTACAATGCATGGAGCATAAAGAGGGTCCCAACTACATCTCCTAGTTCTTGAACTATGTTGCCCCCATAAGAATACTAGCTAGTGGATCCACGTAGTTGTTATGTTTTATGTTTTGGTACTACCTTGGCAAGTAGTCTGCCTTCCTTCGATGTAGGGTTTTATGACACCGGATTCCACACTAGTTCATGTGGTCTATGTCGGTTAGAGAAAGATCTTCCCAAAAGGTAAAATGAATAAGAGGATTGAACTCTAACTAGGATAACCTAAGGAGTCTAACTTAGTCTAGGTAGGGGTATGGGTATCTACCTAAGCATTCCACTAGTTAGCCTCGAGGGGAGTCTTAGGAGGAGGTTCTTATGTATATTTATGTTTGTGATGATATATGACATGTATATGATGAACTTGCACATTGTTGATGCTATATGTTGATTAGTTCACTTATGAGTATGTGTTGGGTTATATTGTTAAAGTAATATGAAATGTATGTCTAAATGTCATGTTATGTGAAGTAGGGTGTTAGTCATGATTCTTGTTGGGTTGCTTTATTGAGTAAGGTTATGGGAATTTTCTTGATCATTGCACTTGTTGACTTCATAGGAGTTTATGGGTAATTGTCTTGCTTCTTTATAATGAAATGTACTCTTATTCATGATTATGGTTAAATATGACTTGGGGAAGGAGTTAATTGACTATGTATCTATCTACATGATGTGAAGGGTTGACTTGACTAGACTTGAAAATTGTTGTATTTTGAGGAGCATGCCTATGACTTAATAATTATGAAATGTTGATTGGTATGGTCTTGTTGAATGTGCATAATGGTTTATAAGGGAAAAATGCATATGTTTATAAAATGTTCCTTTTTAGCATATTTTCATCATATATGTGCATGTGGTCTCATACTTAGTACAAGTGGCGTACTAACCCCATTTTCTTCCTTTTTCCCAAACGTTTTAGGTTTCGATCGTTGAAGGCTCATTCGAGACGACTTGAAGAAGGCTTGAATAATCTCTATCATCCAAGTGGGTAGGTCATCACTTTCCGAGGGCGATACCAATATCTTGCTTAAGGAGTTGCTTTGTTTTTCTAAGACTCTTATTAAGTTCAATCCACTTCCATTTGAGTATGATTTGTATAAGCCTATATGTGGCTTCTTTACATTGATGTAGGGCAATGCCCAAATTGCTATGATCATTTAGATGGTATGAGATGAGACAATCTTTGAGACTATTTTATATCTTATATATGTATGTGCAATAAAACTAGAAGGCTATATAACCTTCCTATACGAACGGTCTATTTATACTCGATATATATAATTATGTGTATGTAAAGGTCTATGTAAACCTCCAAGTAGAAGTAATAAAAGTTTTAAATTTTTCGCTAAATTCGACTTATGAATGTGATGATGTAAACTAAGAGGCTAGTCCTAGTCCTCAAAGAGGAGGACAACGCCGGTTATGTCTAGGGGGTAAACCCGGATGTGACAAAGTACCATATAGTCATAGGCGCACTTTAAAAAACACATAAACAACAACATAATATTATTCTGGCAGTGCCTTGATGACATTTAATCAATTAGTACACAAAACTTTGATCCGTTACGAATCGACCTTAAGATACAATTCAAAAGAGCATATTAAAATTGGTTGGATAGTTATATCGATGTTCAAGTTTTACAGTGATTCCATAATTAGTTGTTGATCATGCTTAAAAATAGATTTCATACTTCATGTAACTTATTCAGATTAATATGCGATCATGGGGAGGGGCTGCTTGAGTATATGTAGAGAATAGACATTGATCAACCTCAAGCATAAAGGATTAGAATTAGCAAAAGCATTTTATAATAGGCTGCAGCTAAAATATTTTTTGCCAAAGATGTAGTGTTACTGTTCTGTTCATTATAAAGGCAGCAGAACCTGTTACAAGCTCTTCATGAAAAGATTAACCAAAGTGCAAGCAATTCAAATCAAGATAGTGAAACATCTTGCGAAATCCATATGTATAACTCAAAATCAATAACCTGGACAAGCTCTATGTTTGCAAAACCGATTTAACTCGAATTTATATTAAAAGCACACAAAGATGCAGATTTCCACATCTTAGCAAGCAACGAAGTCATAACATTCGGTAGCTAAAAATGACTCTAAAGAGGAACAAAATGAGCATCCCTGTTCAACACATTCAACTAAAGTTTATACCACATTAGAAAATATATATAAGTGGAAATAAACAAGAACCAATTTTGAGCTCAAAAACTCTTAAAACTTCATTAGAAATAGGTTCGAAACGATCACAATTCTTAAGTTTTTAAACATAAGCTAACACAACATAAGATCTTAAACAAAAAAAAATAGAATGAGATCAAGACATCAAAGAGATCAAAGTTATGCTAGAAGAATAATTCATATCATTCTGAAAACAGTAAAAATATAATTTTATCATGCTAGACGAGGAACTTACTAAAGCTAAACTTTACAAGCAATAACATAGAACTATGAAGTAATACACAAGCCACAATTTTTAACAGGGGGTTCAAACTTAACAACACTGATACACAAATTCACAGCAACTGAAACAATACCATATACGAAAAGTGAAAAGGACACGGGGGAAAATCATATTGACGAAAGTAAAACTAAACCTTATTTTCTATCGATAAACAAACATAGTGGATAAATAAATAAAAATTGAGGTTTGGAAAATATTTTACCTTGTGTTGGGCAGCAAACTAAAGCTTTGACAATAAGAGATTCCAACTTCAACCTTACTCAAACTTGATTTCAAAATCAAAAACGGAAAGACGAAAGAGTATAGAAATTTTCAGAAATCTAATGCTTGAAATGTATCTTATCCCTCGTTTCTATCATTCTCCCCCCTCCTCTGTTCTGCCCTAGATTTTGTTTGGATGTCGTTTGCCTTTTATATGCGACATTGGACTTCAAAGTCGTATTTGAATTCCAAAAGCTGCTAGAAACAAAGAACTGCAACAAAAATTGAATCTACATCAACTTTTTCAGATTTTTAGAGCCTTTGGGACAAGGCATATGCGGCATAGGGACCGTTGGAAATTATAGTTTTCCGATAATCCATGGCCATTCTTCAATGGGAGAAGGATCAAAAGGTATGGGGAAGGAGGAGAAGCTGAAGAAGATGGTTGGACAAGACTTGAAGACATGACTTGTCACGCCGTGAGCTACCCCCGAGACACGGACACGGAACCTAGGTCCACAAGTGATCCCAAGCTAACCCTGATTGCATGATCATGAGCATACTAAAATAATAAACTGTTGCGGAGCTAAATCATAATTAAATCTGAAAAGATGGGGAATACCCATATTCTATAACTGAGATATTTGAAAACTACGAGTTTAATACGAAGTAAATATTAACTCAATACTAAGCTGAATCTTAACCATGTCTGAAAATAGCCTCTAAACTTGACTAGAAATGCTGGGACAAGCCCCAGCTAAATCTAGCAAAAACTGAAACTAAATGACGAAAGACTGAAATGAAACTCATGAATGTTGTCCTCGGAGAATGAGGACTCACCACTGAACCTGCTGAACTAGAGATCGAAAATCGATCTATGTGTGATCTGGATGCTGAGAACCTGAACCTACATCACGAGAAGATGTAGAGCATGTATGCATCAGTACTTGAAAGGTACTGAACATGTAGGATAGAGTAAAGCTGAAATAAAACATAACTGAACAACAAAATAGCAAGTATAATAATCTGACATGATAAACTGAAATATGAGCTAACTGGATGCAATGACCAATTTATAACATGCTAAAATTGAATGCTTAATATACTGATAAATGGTCAATGGAGAGAGTTTGACTGATATGTGAGAGATACAAATAATCGATAATAAAATCACATGAGCTAAATGTGGAGTCTGATTTATATGCCCTATCGAGAGGACCCAATATACCCTGCCAAAGGTATAAAGGCATGTTTGCGTGATCACTAAACTGATTGCCCACAGAGGGGACTTACAACCTACTTGGCTTGTAGTTCTGGGACTATTTGGGTATGCTGAACCCTAGTCCAACTCGGTATTATGCTACTCTCAATGAATTCTGTAAATTTACTATTTATGTCTGAATTTCTGTAAATACTGCATAGCTCAAAACTGAACATGCAAACTGAGAATGCAACAATTAATCTGGTAATTATGCATTTATAACTGAGGCATGTATATTTGAAATATCTGACCTAGCATGTGTAATTCAAGAACTAAAGAAATACAAAGCTAGGGTTCTGAAATTCATGCGATAATCTGAGTAATAACAAGATAATCTGATTTGGAACATGTATTTAATAGGTTCATGAAATTCTATCAAAGTTCTAGAAACCCTAGGTTTAATTATGATAAGAGAATCAAGAATTTGACTGAAAACTAGGGACTCAATGGGTGAAAGGAACCCACTAGTCAAAACCACATACCTGGTGATGAAATCCACGAAAAAATACCTAAGTTTCGAGGCTGGAACTGCTGGAGCTTGTTGCGTTCTTGAACTAATGTTCTTGCGCTTTTTCTCTTCTCTTGCTTCTAATTTTCTAGGTTTTAATTTAATGATTTGACTTGGATATGTTTTAATTTGTGATTCTAGGATTAAACTGACTAAAATATGATGATTTAGGGTAAAAAAAAGATGTAATTTAGGGATTAAACGGAGTGGGAAAGGTCCAAAAGACCTCTGGTAAAGTTACTGTCGGGCCAAACGACGGCCAGAACTGACGGTTCGTCGTCTGCCCGACGCCCCGTCGTTGGGTCCGTCGTCATGGCCCGTTCGACAGGCTTTTACTAAAATGGGCGTAATGTTTTACTCGGAGGTCTGATTTAGCAAGGTCGTTAGGTATGGAAAGATAATTCAATTATCTATATTTGGTAGGTCATGGGACACCTAATTCATTTTGTACTAAGTGTTGTGACCATTTGAAGTTGACCCAACTATATTTCCCCTCAACTGTCTACAAATTTTCCATCTACGGTCAGAACTACGGATCGTAGGTCCACCTACAGACCGTACTGGTCATGCGTAGCTCTTTTCAGAGAGTGGGTGAAAGGAGTCTTGATCGACAGTCATGGACTACAGACTGTAAGTCCGTCTGTCCTCCAAGACTTAACCAATTTTTTTGAGCTGAAATTTTTGGGAGTTTTTGATCCCATCGACGGTTGTGCAGGACGGACCGTGATTCAGGCTACGGTCTATCGATCCACCGTTGGTAGCACTTGCAAATTTTTCTGAAAAACTAATTTTTTGTCTGTTTTGGCTACGGGGTGTTACATTATCTCCCCCTTGGGAACATTCGTCCTCGAATGAAGACTAAACTAGCTGAAATAGAGGGAGAGAGCTGAAAACCCCACCACTAAACACTAAGAACTAAGTTTCTGACTGAATTAAGTTTTGAGTACATGCAATTACGCTGAAAATGCAAGTACAAACTGAGGGAACATGATTCCAAAACTGAATTTACGCATGAATGACTGTAAAACTGAAGAGGAACTATTACCTCCCTCTATGGACTGACTCCTCCACAAAACCTTGACTGAAGCGATTTCTTTGTTTCTCAACCTTCTAACCTGACGGTCAAGAATCTCAACTGGTACATCCTCATAATAAAGACTATCTTTCACCGCCACACTCTCTAAAGGCACTACAGAGGATGCATCACCCACACACTTCTTCAAGAGTGAGATATGGAAGATCGGATGCATTGCTGCTAATTCTGCTAGAAACTCTAACTCATATCCCACCTTGCCAACCCTTTTCAAGATCTTGTAAGGGCCTACATATCTATGAATGAGCTTCCCTTTCTTTCTAAATCTCATCACCCCTTTCATAGGTGAGACTTTCAAAAAACTCAATCATCAACTTGGAACTCTATTTCCCTTCTCCTTACATCTGCATAAGATTTTTGACAACTTTGGGCTGTCTTAAGTCTATCTCTAATGAGTTGCACTTTCTCCATAGCATAAAGGACTGAATCTGGCCCTATCAAAGTTGTTTCACCTACTTTAAATCAACCAATAGTAGATCTACATCTATGCCCATATAAAGCCTCATAAAGGGCCATCTGAATGCTGGAATGGTAGCTATTATTATAGACAAACTCAATGAAAGAGGAAGGTGATCATCCCAAATACCTTCGAAATTGATCACATAAGCTCTTAACATATCCTCTAAAGTTTGAATGGTACGCTCTGCCTGCCC